AAGGTACATGTACATGTACATGTACGATTTGTGATTTCATGTATCTTTAATAAATATATGTACATGTACATGTATGTACGGTAGTTTGATGAAAATGATGATTGTAGAATGAATGTCTCTTCTTTTACTTTGTTTTTGTTTCAGCTGCTGCCCCCAAATCGCAAAAGAAGGTTAAATCAGAAGAGCTCTCAGATCTAATGCCTAAAGCTAAGGCAATACGTAACTTTGAGCCAGCTTCATCCCTTGAAATGAGAGTACAGGTATAGGAATTAAGATAAATGTACTGTAGATCTATCCAAATATAATTATAGTTTTGAAGGATTCAAGTGACTGTCTTTCTTTCTCTCTCTCTTTCTCTTCCTAGACTGGTGATATGATTATCTTATTATCTCACGAAGCAAAGAACATGTATATGGGAGAAAACGTAACTACGGGAGAATTTGGAAACTTTCCAGCTAATTGCGTCGAAGTCATTGTTCCTCTTCCTTAGACGTCATTTTGTTGAGCATGAGACTTGAGGTCACACGATCTCTTTCTGTTTGTAATAAAAATCGCTTTCATCCGCTACAAATTATTGACTTGCAGAAATATTAGAGCATTTATTATTATTATTATTATTATTATTATTATTATTATTATTATTATTATTATTATTATTAGACATATATTATTATCAAAATTAAAATTTTAATTCTATTTTTCTATCATATCCAATTTAAAACAATGGCGGAAGGAGAAAACATGGAGAATCAAGATAGCCTTCGCGTTAAGCGCTCCCCTAGTGTGGATACCGCGAGCCAGTCTCTATTCTGGAAGCCAGTGATGGTGTTTTATCATCCCTCGATGAAGAAACTAGCAAAGGATGTCGTTGATCTCGGCCGTAGGGAAGCCAAACTGCCCAAACATGTAATTTTAACCCTCCCCCCTCCCTCTACCCATTTTTTCTTTTTTCTTTTATTTATAGAAGAATCAATTTAGGTCTGTTGAATTATGCGATTTCATTCAATGGGGGAAGTTTCGTGATGGCTGGCCAAACATTTTTATTGACAAGATTGACCAAGTTGTGGGGAGAGATGGTATGTAGTACCACAAAAATATGAATAATAATAATTATTATTATTTTCAGTTATATTTGTTGCAAGTTTTCACACGCCTGAAGTAATGTTTGAAGAGCTTTCACTGATTTATTCGTTTCCAAGGTACTACCTCATTAATTATTCATTGATGGGTGGAGCTCGTTAATTATGTAGGTATTTTGTGAGATCTTTTTGTCTTATTTTACCATTTTTCCCAACGGGCACAATGGAGAGGATCGATCATGAAGGACAAGTTGTTACGGCAAAGGTCTGTCATGCTAGCAGGGTTTCCCACAAAAGATGCTAAGTGTGCTAATTTGGAGCAACTATAGAAATTCATAAAAAATTCAAACCTGATCGGAATCAGCTCAAACTTTCTGCACATCATGAGAACATGTATATGTATCAGGAAAAAATCATAAAATGGAAAATTCTCTCCCTTTCAATTTTGGCAAAATTTGGCCTAAGACCCTGTACTATAGCACAGGGACTTTTGTCCGATTTTGAAGCAACTTTTAAAATTCATAAAAAATCCAATTTTGATCGGAATCAACTCAAACTTGCTACACAACATAAGTACATGTATATGCATCAGAAAATGTAATAAAAATGGAGAATTCTCTCTTAGTCATTTTTGGCGAAATTTGTCCTAAGACCCTGTACTATAGTACAGGGACTTTTGTCCAATTTTGGAGCAAATTTAAAAATTCATAAAAAATCCAAACTTGATCGGAATCAGCTCAAACTTTCTGCACACCATAAGAACATGTATATGTATCAGAAAAAATTTATAAAAATGGAGAATTCTCTCCCTTTCAATTTTGGTGAAATTTGACCAAATTCCCTGTACTATAGTACAGGGACTTTGGTCCAATTTTGGAGCAACTTTAAAAATTCATAAAAAATCCAAACTTGATTGGAATCAGCTCANACTTTCTGCACATCATAAGAACATGTATATGTATCAGGAAAAATTATAAAAATTGAGAGTTCTCCTCTTGTGATTT